CCGGGTTTGGGGACACGCGGTCGCCACGAGGTTTTGCGTTTCCTGGGCCAGCCAGCGCTCGAAAACCATTACCCAAATCGCCCCAAACTCACCACCGGGTGTTCTCACCACCACGTTTGGGGATCACCAATGGAGGCTTGTCGTCGCCACGGCTAGGTTTGAGTCGGGCGTGTCCCTCTACAGGAGGAGCTCATAAAGACTCAAAAGATAGTTTCGGGACGCTGTATCTTATATGCTCAATCCTTTCTTTTTATAGGATATTTCAATTTTTCGTCCGAAATCCGCCTGTAGGTGGGCATGCCCGACCTGAGGCTGGATCCGCCGCGAAGGGCGGGTCAGGATGGACCCCTGGAGGGGTCCGGGTCGACTTGGAGCGCATCTGGGCTGGGCGGGAGAGGCTCCCTTGTCTCAACTGGCCCCCCCCCTCAGACTGACAGCATGGGTGCATCAGCTCAGCCTGGGCCTCTGGGGCCGCCCCCGCGAAGCCACTCCTCCTCCTCCGCCTCCTCCGCCTCCTCCTCCTCCTCCTCCTCCGCCTCCTCCCCTCCTCCTCCTCCGCCTCCTCCTCCTCCTCCTCCTCCTCCTCCTCCTCTCCTCCTCCTCCCCTCCTCCCCCTCCTCCCTCCTCCTCCCCCTCTCCTCTCCTCCTCCCCTCCTCCTCCTCCTCCTCCTCGCCCGCTCTGGACCCCCCCCCCCCAACAGCCTTTTGCGCCGTCGGGCCTCGTCTGGGCCGCGCTCTCCTGGCCGCTCCCGGCAACGGAGGCGGTGGCCTCTCTCCCCGCCGAGTCCTGCGGCAGCCCGGCCCCGACGGCTGGCGACCCCGCGGCGGGCTCTCGCGCGAGCGCTCGCGTTCCGGAGGCTCTCGCGGCGCCCTGCCTCGGGGCCTAAGAGACGGGGGTAAATGCAAACGGGGGTCAGCCAGGGCACCGGATCCTGCAGGATCCTGCGAAGACCCCCTCTGGCTGACCCGGGTTAGCGAGCCGCTTGTGGCCGCGAGGCGGCCGCGCATATTGGCTGACCTGGGTTTGCGAAGACCTGCGTTGCAGTTTTTTGTTCCTGCATTGCAGTTTTTGGTTTCCTGCTGACCCGGGTCTGGATTCACCCGGGTCAGAAGATCCCCGACTGCCCAGGAGCGACCGGAGGTTGATATCGGTATCACTTAACCGATCCCCATCCCCATCACCATCCCCTTCTCGGGAGCCCCACCCAATTACCACCCCAGTTTGGGGCACGCCCCTCGAAGCCCGAAGGGAACGACCTATATCCCCATGTAGGCGGGTAAATCGGCCAGTGGGGCCCAGGCCACGCCGCTGGGGATGGGGATCGGTTAAACGATACTCATGATAGACCTACCCTGGCACATCGATTCAGGAATCAGCCGTTTTCAGTTTGCGATGGGGTCGTCGCGGCCGCCGTTTCTGCGGATCCAGGTCCGTCGGTTTCGGTACTAGGCCGTTTTCACTAAAGGGGGGTTTGCTGAAGGGAGATGTGTGTCCACCGCCGAAGCGACGGCACCGCCGTGGCCCGCGGCGGCAATTATCGTGGTCAGTGCGACCTCCCAGCGCTGGTCGCGGGGCTGACCTCTATGCAGGTGGCCGCTGGAGGTTCTCGTACCGTCCTGAGCAGGATCGGCGGCGCCGCCGCGGGCCTGCGGCAGCAGTGAGTGTGGTCGGTGCGGCCTCCCGGAGCTGGCCGCGGCCCTGGCTCATACGCAGGTGGCCGCTGGAGGCGAGCGCACCGTCTTTGTCAGGAGCGACGGTTGTGCTGTGGCCTGCGGCAGCGATGATAGTGCTCAGTGCGACATGCCCGCGCTGGCCGCGAGCCTGACCCAACCGCAGGTGGCCGCTGGATCTCATCACACCAAACTGCTCAGGAGCGACAGCACCGCCGTGGCCTGCGGCATCAATTATCGGGGTCAGCGCGAATTTCCGGCGCTAGCCGCGGGCTTGACCTATACGCAGGTGGCTTTTGAAGCTTTTCGCACCGTCCTGCTCGGGAGCGATGGAGCTGTCGTGGCCTGCGGCAGCAATGACGAGGATCAGTGCGATCTCCTGGCGCTGGCCTCGGGCCTGACCTACGCAGCTCACTGATTGCCGGCTCTGCTACTGCAGGCGGTGCCCAACGGCAACTCGATGCGCCTCGTGACTCTCTGCGGAGCGGAGCGCGGCGAAAGTGAGACGGGCCCCGCCACCCTCCTCGCGGACATCTGCGGCCAGCTGTTGGCGGATCACCGTGCGGGCAGGCTGGGACCCAGAGTCTGGCGAGTCGACGCGATCTTGCCAGGTGGCCGGCTGCTCAGCAGCGTCTCGGCCGAGGAGGCCGTCGCCGGCGTCCTCGGGCTGGTTCGGCCAGGCTGAGCCGCCCCGTGGGCCCCTCCTGCGCCGCGGCTGCAGAGAAGGAGCGCGGCTTCTGGGTAGTCACTGCGCAGCTGTGCTCTCGACAGGGCGAGCACGGCATCGAAAGCCACGTGGCACGTGTGCCCAGGCCAGGATCATGCAGTACCTGTAAGCTGGACGTGGTAGGTCTGGGGAGTCTGAGGATCGACAGAATCTTCAGCGGAGCCATGACACGTCTGCAACGCCGCCCAGCCGCAGCCGCCGTAGACCTCCCTGGCACCGCTCACGGGCGAAGTTCTCGCGAACGTTCCCCCCCAGACGTCGGGCGTCTGGACAAAGATCGAGTCGGAGGTTTTTCGTAATTTTCGGCCTCTCGGGGACGGAGGCTGTTCATAGCTTTCGGCCTCTCGGGGCCACTGCCGGGCCTCGGGGCCGGCAAACAGTGGCCCGCGATGAAAACGGGTCCCAGGGAAGTGCTCGACAGGTCGGGGGCCCACGTCTCGAACAAGAGCGAGACCCAGGTGTCTGGGCCTTTCCCGTCGGGGGTTCGAAGGCCCCTGAGATCTGGATGTCGTAATCTTTTCACAGCGTGCGCCTCTGGCGGGTTTCGGGCCCGGGGCCAGCGCAGCTCGATCCAGCCAGGAAGGTACGGCAGAGCGAGGGGATTCAGCCTCCAGTCGTGATTCTGGCGGTGTCGCAATTTTTTCTGGTAGCGTCTGGTCTTCCAGGTGGGGCCTTGAGAGATTGGGCCCTTCGGGCGTGTCCCCGACAGGCGGTTTTTGGACGACGGATTTCAAAATAGCTGGAACATATTCAAGACATGTCCAAAAATACCCCAGGATCAGTCCCCATGCTATTTTGTGACTATTTTCGATGATTTTCTTCCTGTAGAGGGACAGGCCCGACTTGACCCTACGAGGAGGCGAGGACTTCCAGGCTGGATTCGCACGGCGCAGGGCCTCCTCGGGATAGGGGCCCCGTGCCTCGGGCCCCGTGTCTGAAGTGCCAGCTCATAAACATGAGTTCTCACCGTCGCGTCTTGGTGTGGTCTCCTCCTCCTCCTCCTCCTCCTCCTCCTCCTCCTCCTCCTCCTCCTCCTCCTCCTCCTCCTCCTCCTCCTCCTCCCCCTCCTCCCCCTCCTCCTCCTCCTCCTCTTCTCCTCCTCCTCCTCCTCCTCCTCCTCCTCTCCTCCTCCTCCTCCCCCTCCTCCTCCTCCTCCTCGCTTCCCCCTGCGCCTCCTTGCAGTTCGCGATCCGGGAGCGCGAACTGCACCACGAGGTCCAGTGGCTTCTGGCCCAGCCCCCGCCACGCCACCGTGCCTGGGCCGTGGGTGAGAGGCGTCCTGGAGGTTCGTCCGGATCTCGCGGGAGGCATCTCAGGGCCTCCTCGAGGCTGCTTTGAGGTCTCCAGGGGGCTAGACTGCAACAATTTTGTGGGGGGTTTGTTTCTCTCTCTCTCTCTCTCTCTCTTTGTGCTATCGTTGTTGTTGTTGTTGTTGTTGTTGTTGTTGTTGTTGTTGTTGTTGTTGTTGTTGTTGTTGTTGTTGTTGTTGTTGTTGTTGTGTTTGTTGTTGTTGTTGTGATTGTTGTTGTTGTTGATGTTGTTGTTGTTGTTCTTGTTGTTGTTGTTGTGGTTGTTATTGTTGTTGTTGTTGTTGTTGTTGTTGTTGTTGTTGTTGTTGTTGTTGTTGTTGTTGTTGTTCTTATTATTCTTATTCTTCTTGTATAGAGCTGTATTTATGTTTATATTCCGGCGATATATACATTGAGCAAGTTTACATGTTTGCATTTTATCCTTCTTTGGCCAGGAACTATATAGTTTTCAGTATATATATATGTGTATATGTATATCTGTTCTTTCCACCAAGGCCTCGTCGCAGCTGAACCCTTGCATCGATTTCCGAACCACGCTTGGGAGAGCGCGCCGTGCCTTCCGCCTCCCGTGTGGGGCTCGGGCCTCTATCGGTCTGCCCCCGGTCTGCCGCGGCCGTGGCCTGCTTGTGGCCCGCCGTGCCTTCGGGCCTACGCTGCGGGCTCCGCTGTGCTTTCGGCCTGCCTTTTTGCCTGCCGTGCAGCCGATATCCGATCCTCCTCCTCCTCCTCCTCCTCCTCCTCCTCCTCCTCCTCCCTCTCCTCCCCCTCCTCCTCCCCCTCCTCCCCCTCCTCCTCCTCTTCCTCCTCCTCTTCTTCCTCCTCCTCCTCCTCCTCCTGGCTCCTCCGTAGGGAGGTCCCCCCCCGGAGCCCAGGTGGTGGTGCTGACCAGCGGCGGCCTCCAGGCGCGCCGAGGGTCTCATTGTTCATGCCACATCCTGCAGCGAACTGTGCGATATGATGGAGTCCCTCTGCGTTGAACTCCGCCGAGGTGGCCTGCACTTCAGTGCCCCGAAAGCGAAAGTCCTGACGACGGAGGACCTTCCTGGACGACATGATCGAAAGCCTGTTCGGCAGCGACGACATGGTCGAGATCTGCGACGACATGGTCGAAAGCCTGTTCGGCAGCGATCTTGATCTATATTTGGGAAGGAAAGTACCAGGGTTCAACCTGCTGACGTTGAGTTGTCCCACCGGTTCCAGGCCGCCTGGGGCAAGTTCCATGAGCGGCGGAGCATGCTTACCGACGGGCAGATTTCCATCCGTCGCCGCCTCAAGCTCTTGGATTCAGTCGTAACGCCTACGGTGCTGTTCGGTCTGCCATCGCTGGCCCTGACGACGCGTCAGAAGGAGCAGGTGGACGTTCTGCAACGACGCATGCTGCGCTTGATTGTGGGCTGGGTGCGCTTTGACGACGAAGACTGGGACATCACGATGCGTCGAATGAGCGACCGGGCCGACCGAGCTCTGTCACCTTACCCAGTTCAGAGTTGGCGGGCACGGTTGGCCCACCCGCAGTACAGTTTCGTCGGCCAGTTTGGACAGAAACCCGACAGCTGGGCGTATCGAGTATCGAGTCGGAGCTCGGCTGCCGCCTATCCCCAGGCAGGCCGTGGACGAGGCCGTCCAGCATGTCGCTGGGGCGATCAATTACAGAGGTACTTGCTTGCTTGCAGAGTTTAGTGAGCTATGGTACGTCGCTGCTTGAGAGAGGTAATGGCGTGCGCAAGCCGAGGGCTACGCGCAAGACTTCTGAGGTCAATTCTGCGTCTTATTTTTTCCATCGCGCACACGAATTTATAGTTCTCAGCCCGCGTCCGCTTGCGGACCGATTCCATTCAACCAGGCCTTGCTTTGTCTATGTGTTGGGATGGGCTTGTTTTCCACCACCACTACCATAAGTAGGAGGGGGGGAGGGGGTTATCCTCCTTCTCCTCCTCCTTCCTCCTCCTCTCCTCCTCCTCCTCCTCCTCCTCCTCCTCCCCCTCTTCCTCCTCCTCCTCCTCCCTCTCCTCCTCCTCCTCCTCCCTCCTCCTCCTCCTCCTCCTCCTCCTTCTACCCCTCCTCCTCTTCCTCCTCCTCTCCACCTCCTTCCCTTGCCGTCTAACTTGTGGTAGTGGTAGTGGAAAACACGCCCATCGTTTTGCCATTGGCTGCTGCGCCTTTAGCATACCGCGCTGTTTGGTTGGGGCCTTGCCCTGTGCGCAGATGGACCTCCGGTGATGGTAAGGCCTTCCGCGTGCCTTGGTGTCGGCTTGCCATTTGATTGCGGATATGTTTTCGGTCGAATGCTGTTTTGTGACTGCCATAACATTGGTATGGTATGGGATTGGTTTGGTCTGGCCCGCCTTGGTACAGCTTGCCTTTTGATGGCCTTTTCAATTCGGGTCTGTCGCCGAGGTATCTTCTGGTCTGCCGTGCCTCTGGCCGACTTATTGGTTTTGGTCTGTTTGGCATACCGTGTGGATGCGGGTCTGCCTGTGATTTGCTCCTGATAGTGTTGAGATGCGTTTCGGAAAGGGAATCTCTGATGGGGCCGCTGCATGTGCCATTGGATGTAGCGAACTGCGTACTCACATTTGGGCAGTGCTGTCCCCAAGCGTTGTTTGTCCTGAGTTTCACTCTTAAGCCAAACCATTGAATCTCACCACCAGCTCTGCACGTTTGAAGTTTGACCCCCCATTTTGGGGTTGATCATGGCAGGCCTTTCCGGCTGCAGTTGTTGGGCAGGGAGTTGCTGCAGTGCGCTACCGTTTACGAAGGGAGAGGAAACCTACATTGCAGCTCCGAGGACGAGACAATCAGAAATCGCCCCCCATCGCCCTCCCCGTCCGCTCTGCATTTCCCCGGGCCAGGGCGGGGTCACGCTGGCCCAAACGCAATTCAAAATTTCGCGGAATAGATGCTTTCTTTGTGTTGGTGTCGGCTTTTTGTTCTCCCACAATACAGCTCCGAGGACGAAGCAAGCAGAAATCTGTACACTCGCCCGAGGAATTGACACACCGCCGTGCGTACATCCAGAAACCATTTGCCACAGCGAATTCTAGAGTTCCGTTCTGCAGGTGCGATTTTTCTGTTTGTTTGTTAGTTTGTTTGTTTGTTCGTTTGTTTGTATTTAAGCGTAAGTGCAATACATGCTATACCTGTGCGTCGACCCGAAATGGCTGCAGTTGATGACTCCTTACAGAATACAGAGGATCCGTGCAGTAGCTACGTGCCAGAACATGTATTTTCGCTCGCGTTTGATATCCAGACTCGTGTCGGGTTGGCTCGGCGATGGCGCTTTACTGAAGTCGGCTGTGCCGCGTCCCCAGCTCAGGATGGCACTTTCGCCGAAAGGTCCGTACTATTCCTATTTCAGAGTGGCGCTGCTGTTGCCAGAGCCGTCCACACTCCTGGCTCAGAACGGTGCCTGTGTCTGCAAGCTGACCGCGTTCCCAATTCAGACTGGTGCTTTCGTCTCAGCGCCTGCCGCAGTCCGAGCTCGGACTGATGCAGTCAGCTCGGCATCAAGCCACGGTCCCAGCCCAGAATGGCGTTCTTGCGACGGCGCCGGCCGCGGCGCCCGCCGCACTCCTAGCCCAGTTGCTCCTGCTACAGCGCTGGCAACATCCACGGCTCAGTAGCACAAGCGGTATCAGCAGCTGTAGC